TCAGGAAAATAAAGCATTAAGCAACAAGAAAATATCTTACTGAGCTTGAACAAAGCACTAGTTTTATTGCAGTATTGTAATGTACTGATAATGGAATGGAAGAAAATGTTTTTCTTTCCCTTACATGTCTCTTATGGTATCATTTCTATTTTATCTACTGGGCATTGCATTTATTTTTGTTCACTGTAAGAATTATCTTTTTAAAATGAAAAAAGTCAGCAACTTGGCATGTATGCTCATTAGTCATTGTCAAGGATTTTGGAAAAATAAAGATGTAAAGAAAGAAAAAAAAATTGTCTCATTAATTTGGGCCTAGTAGTTAGGACTCTGTTATATTTTACAACAAGCTATTCACTTCTTTTTATTACTTTCTTTTAATAAAAAATTAGTAATTTAAGAATCACAAAAGAAAAATTCAAATGAAATAAGAGCAGCAAGTATGTTCAAAGAATTCTGAAATCCTTCTAGTTTTACTTATGGAGTCCTTTGGGTCAGTCATATATCCTGAACAAACTGGTCTCAATGTTCTCTCAACATGCACAGTATTTTCTCACCTCTCTGTCTTTGTCCATGCTAGTCTCTGCAATGCCACTCCACCTCCAACCCACATTCCTCTGAAACCCTACCCTTCTTTTTAAACCCAGCTCGAATGATATCTCCTCAACAGAACCTCCCCTAATCTCTTTTCATGCCAGAAATTCTCCCCCTCCCCAGTAGCCACACAAAGGGGAGACATAAACAAAGCACTAATATGTGGTGAAAAGTCTTAAGGGTGTAGTAGAAACTCTATACAGCCAATACTAACTACCTTAGTTTAGTATCAGCTTCCCAAACCAAATGAATAGCTCTAGTATCTCAAATTTGATTTAGAGTACACAAGAGAATTTATATGATTTATGCCAATATTGTATATTTTTCAAAGAATTATACTATAGATGTGTGTGTAGGTATACACACATATATAACACACACACACACACTCACAATGAAGAGATATTGATGCCCTGCAATACATGAGTGCTTTTAAGAAACAAAGTAAAAACAAAACAAAATTAAAAACAAACGATTAAACTATACTATTGTCCTAAATTCAAAGCTAAAGTCCCTATTTATTTCTGGGGAACAAAATCAAGAGTTCAGTGTCTATAAGAACATTTAAGGAAGCTTGGGACTGATTAGTCACTTGTTTTATTTAGAAAGGGTTAGGATTGTTATTCACAGAAAAGGAAATACTATCTTAATTCTAAATTCAGAACTGTTCAAAGGGCTTTGTGAACACCAGTAAAACAATCAACTAGCCATATAGAACTCTAATTCTATTATCTATGGTGGAATATATTTAAAGGAATAGAAGGGCCACATCTAATGCTATAACCCAATACTCCAATCTACTAAAAAGAAACTCAGCCCTGGCCGGTGTGGCTCAGTTGTCTGAGTGTCATCCCGAGCACCGAAAGGCTGCCAGTTCAATTCCCAGTCAGGGCACAGGCCCAGGTTTCGAGCTTGATCCCTGGTAGGGGACCAACTGATTGATGTTATGCTCTTACATCAATGTTTCTCTCTCTCCTTCTTTCTTCCCCTCTCTCTAAAACTCAGTAAAAATATTTTTAAAAAGAAACTCAAAAGACTAACTGGATACAAGAAACATTTTGCTTAACTTTCAGATCAGGGCCATTCAGAGAGCCAGAAAGACATCAATACAGCATAACAAGAAAAACTAGAGCTCAAACAGCCCATGAGATTCATGATCTCAAACTTCAATGTTCAATACTGATTTCTGAAGCTAGACAAAAAGGGAAGTGGGATATAAATGTGAGAGTAGACTGAATCATGATCACATTAAGGGCCAACAGGGGATAAAGAGATGTGGACATAATTTCTAGCATAGCATCTGACTACCTTTCCTGGCCACAGGGTAGTTTTTGTACCTTCTTTCCTCTAAATCCTCCAATGGCACATGCCTTCTTAGCAGTTTGTTTACCTGGCTTCCCCTTCAGTGGCAAAGACACTAACAGCTAAATCCACAGGGATCCCCTCCTCACTTGTTATCTTGGGGTACAACAGGACAAAACTACGTGTTTCACTAGTTAAGATAATCTTTCAGTGGCCTTTTAGATAACTTCAATGAACTTTATGAGTGGTATCTGAGGTTAACCCATCTTAAGATTACTCCAGGGTTAACAGTGAAGTAGATTACAAACATAACCACAATTTTTAAAAATCTGCTCCTTTTTGGACAAAATTCTTCTTTTCTTTGAGAACCATTGGTTTAGACTAAAGATTTTAAAAGCCAAAGATGTTTATGCACAGCCGCTCATCATTTCATCTAACAGATTTTATTATAAGTGCCTCTTAAGTGTAAGTCACTATTATAAATTCAGTATAGCATGGTGGAAAGACAGATAAAAGCTCTATTCACATTTAATTGGGCAGATTGATAATAAAATAAAATTATATATATATATATATATATATATGAGCTCCAGATACTGGTAAGTGGTAGGAAAACAAACTAAATAAATCATGAGAATGAGCTTAAATGTGATTTTGGGGTATGGGTGTTCCGTTTAGAAAGGGAAACAGCAAAGTCAGAGGAAATTCTCAGACATGAGCTGAAACCATGTGAAGATCTCGAGATCTAGGTAGGGGTAACAGTAAGTGTGGAGGTGCAAATGAGTTTGGCATGTTCCAGGAACAGAAAATTGGTCCATGTAGCCAGGACACAGTAAGAATGGGGAAATGTGGTAGCAGACAAGGTTAGAGATACAAACCAGAGTCAGATATGTAGGGTTTCAGATGCCTCAGGAAAAAGTATAGATTTTATTCTAAGTATAGTAGAAAGCCATTGAAGAGATGTAAGCAAAAAAGGGATTTATGTTTTTAAAAGGTAAGTGTGGCTTTGGTATAAATGAAAGACTGTTTCATACAGAGAGATGCTTAGTAAGAATAATTTGATAATAGATATTTAGGGTAGTCAAACATAGCTTATTTGCTTTAACTTGAAATTAAGTAACAGATGGCTAAGAGTACTGACCCCTATCTCCTACCCAAGAAAAAAAGAAAGGTGCCACTTGATTTTAAAATATCTACTCTGCTACAGACAGGCCTCTAAGAAAGTACAGCAGTCCCACTATATTCACAGGGCTTACACTCCAAGACCCCCAGCAGATGTATGTATACAGAACAATTATAACAGTATAATGTAATAAAAGTTATGTGAATGTGGTCTTTTTTTCCCAGTAACTTTTATATATATATATATATATTTTTTTTATCCTCACCTGAGGACATTTTTCCATTTTTTGTTCAGATAGAGTGGGAAGGAGAGAGAGAGAGAAACGACGATGTGAAAGGGACACATCGAGTGGTTGCCACCCACATGACCCAACCAGGGCCGGGGACAAACTGCAACCAAAGTACATGCCCTTAGCGGGAACTGAACCCGGGTCTCTCTGGACCACAGGCTGATGCTCTAACCGCTGAGCCAAACTGGCCAGGGCAACTTTTATATTTTTTAGCCTAAATCTAGTCCTGAACCTGTTCAACCACTCCTTATCTGCAGTAAGTAAATGACTTGGTGTCAGTCATTTCAAGAGATCCTTACTGAAGTCTTCACATAGGCTCAATGCTTTCTGCTTTCTGGTGCAACATACTGCCATCAACTGAAACACATTTTCTGTTTGTGTCTCCCACCCACGAATGTAATGCCTTTTCTATCCAGCTAAGCACTTATCACACACGGTGGTCATAATTTTTGCAGCTTAAGGTACAGCAGCAAAATTAACACAAATTTCTTTTTCCTATCCCACAATTACACAGATAAAATATTTGTTCTTACTGTTGATCTTAGCAACATCAGCATATGATTTTTTCTCTTTCCTTATTAAGTCAAGAACTTTCACCTTGTCACTTAATGGAAGCATTTTACAGCTTCTCTTTGGCATATTCAAATTGCCAAGCATCACTACTCTTACACTCAGGGGCCATTATGAAGTAAAATAAGGGGTACTTGAACAGAAGCGCTACGAGACTGTCACAGCCAATCTGATAACATAGGCAGCTACGAAGCATGGAAACACTGGACAAAGGGATGTTTAACATCCTGGGTGGGACAGAGAGAGATTTCTTCATGCTACTCAGAAGGGTGCAGAATTTAAAACTTATGAATTATTTCTGGAATTTTCCATTTAATATCTCTGGACTGCAGCTGACTGTGGGATACTGAGACCACAGGTAACTGAAACCATGGAAAGCGAAATTGTGGCTGGGGATGAGGGGACTACTGTATTCAATCCAAATTAAGGAGCGGTAGTTCTGAAACTATCATCAAGTTCTGAAAGCCCTAAGACAAGCACATTTTTCTTGCTCAACTTCCACCTTACCACTGGCAGGTCTAAAATCAAAAGGACAGCCTCAACCATGATTCTCTAAAAGAGGCTTTAATTACAGTAAAGTCTCCATAATTTGCACTTACTAAATTGTAATTTCCCTCAGATAGTTAATGTAAAGAAATTAAATCTGAGAGATAAACCATAGAACTCATATGCATGTATGCATGAACAATGGACATGGACAACAAAGCTGGGGACAGGGCAGGGAGGGAGAGGGAGGGGGGTATCAGTGGTGGGGGGAGAAACATCTATCAAAAATAAATTAATTAAAAAAAATAAAAATACTTAATAAGATGATTTATGTTTTAAATAACATTATAAAAGAAATAGTTTAACCAGTAGTTTTAAACCTGTGAAAAACACCTATTTACAACCTTTGATAAATTGACTAGACATCAATCTTATCATTGTTGTTTCCTTCTAAGAGCGTCCTTAATATCCTAGTTCAAATTACCATAGATACTTCAACGCAAAAAAATTCTATATTGTTTTTATTCTACAATTCACATTTTTTCACTAGTTTATGGGACCATCCTTTTTGTTTATTTGTTTGTTTGAACTATTAAATCAAACATCATTAGCATAAGAAAATATAATGCATAATCATACCTCCACTTTAATTCTCTTCGGGGATAATTCATCTCTTTCTCCACATTTTGACCTGAGGGGAATGGGAGAGAGAGAAAAACTTGAGAAGGTAAGAAATTTTATTCTAGAGGCATCTCAATGATAAACTTCTACCAAAACACATAACCCTGAAATCCTGACACACATAACAAACATTGAAATGATGAAAACTAAATTTTTCATCGCTTCTAAATCAACATTAAAATATGCAGATGCAATTATATTGTACATTTTAAAAGACAACTGCGTAGAATTCCCTGCACAGAAAGTATTCAATAAATATGTAATAATTATCACATAATGAAAAAGGGGGGCGGAATCAAGGATTGTACTACATAATATCCTTTATGGATCAGTAAAAACAAGTTAGGACAAAATGACAACAATGGCAATTTTAGATGAATACTTGAAGACACATGAGATTAAAATGCATTTTATCTATCTACCGAAACTACACATGCATTTCCCCTTGACCCAGAGATCCCTCTGCTGGGAATCTATCCCACGGAGGTACTGACACATACATGAACTACTACTGCCAATTAAACTATGACAAGCCATCATTTGAAAGTTACCCCTTCATATAAAAGATGTCAAAAATTTCAAAAAGTACATCTCAGAATCATCAAAATAAGAAAAGTATAATGTTATTTGTTGTGGTACTATTTATAATGAAAAAGACCAGGAACAACTCAAGTATCCATCAATAGGGGAACTGGTTAAATGAATCATGATACATCAATGTAATACCATGCAGCTGTAAAAAACAATGAAGAACATGTATACCTACTAATACAAAGGTAGGCAAATGTAGGTTTATGGTTGTTCATATGGAAAAAGACATGCAGGTTATGATTACTACAACAGCTTTATTAACTCTGGCATACTCGCAACTGTAAACCTACTTTTGCCCCACCCTGTACAGGGAGATCTCTAAGACATGTTAAAATAAAAGCAAAATACAGAATAATGTAGACACATGTTACCTATTGTTTTTCCAAGAAAGGTGAAAATGAGAATCTACATTTATATTTCTTTGCATATGCATAAACAAATACTGCAAGGATAAAAAAGAAACTTAAAAAGCTACCTACACTGAGGAAAGAAACAAGGTAAAAAGGGACAGGAATGTGAGTGCAACTCTTTTTTATTGCCTATTTACACAGTTCTGTCTTCTAAATTATGTAAAAGTGTTATGTATTTTAAAATATATTTAACTTTAAAAAGGAAATATAAAGGTAAATACTAAAAGAAACAGCTAAAGATTGTTGAAAGTAGTTGCCTCTAGGGTGCTGTATTAGGGAGAGGGCGGGGAAAGGGGTGGAACAGGGGAACTGCTGGGTTTCAACATAAGCCTTGTACACTATATGACTTCTTAAATCATGTGCATGTATTGCTTTGATTTTAAAATTTATTTAAACAAAGTAATCAGAAGGAAAAAAGAAAAAAAAAATCACTAAATCAGCTCCTGATTAGCCAACTCCCTCCAACATAATCTTGTAAATAATCCTATAATATTGCTGTATATTCTTACCCTATTCATTTAGTCTGCATAATTTTACTTGTTGTCACTTTGTAAATCTGTGAGCCTGAGTATGGTGAAAAATGAAGCTGAAGCTGAGCCCTGGCCAGTATGGCTTAGCGGTAGAGCATTGGCCCGTGGACCAATGAGTTGTGGGTTCGAGTCCAGCCAAGGGCATGTACCTCAGTTGCATTTCATCCCCAGCCCTGGTCAGGGTCATGTGGGAAGCAACCAGTCAGTGTGTCCCTCTCACATCGATGTTTCTCTCTCCCTTTCTCTCCCTCCCCACTCCATTTGACGACACGAAAAAATATCTTCAGGTGAGGATTAGAAATAAATAAATAAATAAGCTGCTTTGAGTTAGGAAAAATAATAGTGATGACATCAAATGCCTATAAGGGTTGTTTTCAAACTTGAATGTGCACAAGGACCATATGGGATGTTTGTGAAAGTTTGAAATCAAAGACTCCAACCCCAGAGACTGATTTATTAGGACTCAGAAGGGTGCTCAAGATGTGGTTTTTCAACAGATGCTCAGTTATTCTAATGTATGTGGCCATCCATATCTACTCAGAGAAGCAGTGGCATGCACAAATGATGGTGCACTGGAAATCAGGGTCCGTGAGGAACCAAGTGAGCAAAATCAGAATGGTCCTATACATACAGACCATGCTTAGAGTTCAAGTTAGGAGAAAGTAAAGAATAAGATGGTGTGTTTACATTAAATTTTAAAACCATCACTGTTTTTTAACATTAAGGTGTTTTTTTAAATTTCAAACACATGTTCCATATTCCATTTGCTAGTAATAGAAGTATCCTCCAATTTTCCCTTAAATACTGGTCACTGAAGTCTATTATTCAGCTAATCTCATTAGATTGCAAACACCTTGCAAAAGGAACTAATTTGCTTCCCTATAGTTAAAGTTCATATAGTTAGTGGTATACAAATAAGTCTATAAATGCTGACTAAACCCCATCATCACACTCAAAACCAAAGCACCTGCATGTGAGAATGTCTAAAACCCTATCAGAACAATGCTATAGTGTAGGAAACTATTTTTAAAAAGAAAGACCAAGGAGCCAGCTGGTATGGTTCAGTGATTGAGCATTACCCATGCAACAAGAAGAGGTCGCTAGTTCAATTCCCAGTCAGGGCACATACCCAGGTTGTAGGCCAAATCCCCGGTAGGGGGCATGCAGGAGGCGGCCAATCAATATTATCTCATCGATGTTTCTATCTCTCTCCCTCTCCCTTCCTCTAAAATCAATAAAGAAAAAATTTTTTTTTTAAAAAGAGAAAGGAGAATTAAACAAAACAACAAATAAACCACTTTAGCAATGTTTTGAAAAGTCACTTTACTATTTAATTTTATAGAACTAAAATCATACTTTTTTCTGAAATGCTTATATACTATATCAATTGATAGTATTTCAAACTCTACTTCTATCAAGCAAAGCAAAAGTGCTGTCAATTAGTTCAACTTACTTGGTGGTTCTGTAAGTGTATTTATAGGTGACTTCTCGAGAAATCTGCCTAGCCAGGGCAAAAAGTTCATCTCTTCTTGTCAGGAGGGCATTATCCTTCACACAGAGCTGAGCAGCCGCTTCATTAACAGTGAGCTGCATATGAAAATAAAGTTTTAAAGATTATAAACACTTTTATTTCGTCAACATATATTTCACTTAAGAATATAAAAATGTCATGTCATTACATAAGATCATAATTTACAAAAATCAGGAAAGTCTTTATTCCTAATTAGTCCTAATGCCTAATTTCAAAAGTCATCTACCATCTCTTAGAACTCAAACTAATCAAAATAGTAAAAAACTGATAGTCAAACAAAACTAATCAAAATCTTAGTTTTTTTTTTACTTACATGCTTTATTTTTGTTTAGCTATGAGAATTTACCGAAAATATACAAAATAAAAAAAAGAAGTAAAAAACGTTCTGCATCTCATTTTTCTTAGAAAAACCAAAGGATTTGACTATGTGATATGGGGATAGTATTTCCCCTAACTAAAAGTGAGTATACGTTGTCTGGCAGATTTATTTATTTATTTATTTTCAATGTGAACTGACATAAAAATTCCTGAAGGAATAAAAATTAAATGTTTTTATTTCAAAATTTACCAAATCGCTTAGTAAAAACAGTTATCACAAATTAGGGCCATAGTAGAAAAAGCAAGGTCTTAGAGTCACTGAACCTCTAAGAGTCTTCTAATTCTATCCTTTCACCTACGAGTTAAATATTGCCAATATACAGTTGCTAGTTGACCAAACACCCTCTACTAAAATTTAAAATAGCAAATGTTATCCAAAACTCAAAACCTGTAATTGTTTAATAAACTAGAAAAAAATTTTTTCACATAATTTTGTCAATTTAAATAGATGTAGAGAATGGCCAAGAGTTATATTAGACTCTTTTAAAAAGCAAGAAACAATGCAAGGCATGATTGATGGCAAAAAGAGAATGGGATTTGATGGCAGACAGACCTGAGATGGGTCTTACTCCATCATTTACCAGCTATGTGACTCAGGATATGTAAAAACTCAAAGCCTCAATTTGCTCAGGGCCCAAGAGTACCTCAAAGATCTCTAACAAGAAGTAAATGAGGAGACACACCTGGCACAAAGCTGTTGTTAATGTTAGTTCTAGTTTCTCTTTTGTAAAAAATCACCTATTTACTGTTTCTCCCTATCTCGCATCCCACTTTATTAACAATAAATTTCTTAAATTTAAAAAAAATACAGAGAAGCAAAAGAAGACAATAAATACAACATGCAACCATCCAGAATGACTTAGTATTTTAATGTATGTGATTCCAATATTTGTCTGTGTACATATAAATATAAATGTCAATTCAGATTTGTAATCTTTTTTCACTTATTTATGCTGCTCTCTTTACTTTCATCATGTATTAAGGCAGAAACTTGGCTTGTTTAGATGCTCAATAAAGATTTGTAAAAAAAACTTGGGGTAATGTCCAGAATGAAGCTGATTTAAATACTAACTAATAACATTTCAGAAGTACCAGCTTATGCACAACCACAGAAAATAGTTTTTAAACATAAACTGAAAACAATGTTCTAGGATTCCTTCCATCATCTTACCAAAAAACCAAGAAAACAAACATAACATTCTTTGTTACTGAATTCAGACTCCAGCAAACCAAAGAAGTAGACTGAACTCTCCAGGCCCTCAGGGAGCTTTCTGGTAAAAACTGAGGTTTGAGAAATAACTATAGTTCCTCCCAAGTTGTAGTAAGAAGCCAATAATCAAACTTCCCCATCAAAATTGTATTCTGTCAATGGTTTCTACATTATGTGCTCCTAGTCCCTAATAATTAAATCAACAACCATTATATTTTTTTAAAACAATACAAATATTCCAAACTGGTAGTCACTCACTGTATCACCATGCTAGTATTTTAAAAATTCTAAGTTTCTAATTTTGTTAAAAGTATAAAATAAGATATTCTCCCTAATCGGTTTACTCCTCCACTTCCTCTTTTCATGGCTAAAAATACCAAAATTCCATTCATAGCTTCATATAAAATTTTTCTTAAACTTAGCTTTCTATCATAACTACATTTAAAATCTCTTTTTACTGGTAGTTAAAATTATAACCTTTAACAATCAAATGATTGTGACTTTGTGTTCAGTCTTGTTAGCATTAAAATACTATATGAATGCTGTGTGACAGGGAGGCTCAAAAGGCAATCAAGACTTTCATTTCCAGTACAGGGAGAGCTAGGTATCATGACTAGTCCCTCTCACAGATAACAACTAAAATTTTTTGATAAAACAGAGGGGGGGAAATTATCTTAAATACATCAATGAACCAATAAAACAGTAAGGACTATTCAGGTCAAAATGAGTGAAGACAGTATCTCAAAGGAGTACATTAAGGACAGCTGCTAACTCAGATGAACTTAAGTTTCAACCTTCACAGCCTCTTGGGGCTGGTGAGACTGGAAGGAGAGTGGTGAGAGGAAAAGTGAGTGTGGAGGGAAAGTACTGAGAGGAAACACCCAGGATCCACCAAAGGTGAGGAGTCTAAGACCTCTCCTTCATAAAACTGAAATCCCAAAGCACTATACAACCAATGTAAGACTGACTTAGAAATACACCTACACCTCCTGGGACATTGCAACGGAAATTACCTGTTTGAACCTTGTTACTGAGTGGGAGAGAACAGATACTCCCTTGAGGTTTCCTAACTCCAAATCAGCCCTCATATATTTTCAGCCCTAATTCACACTAAGTAGGCTGAGATTTTAACAGGGTCTCAGAGTTGTAGTGTGCAGAGTACAGGTGACTGACAGAAGCAAAAGCCAAAGTAACCTCTAGAAAAAAGCATTTCTTCCTAGGCCTTAAAACATTCCCCCAGTTACAAGAAAAATGAGTTCATAGAGAGAAATCATAAAACATCCCAAAAAGTAAAGTATCAAAAGTAAAAACCAGTAGAAACTACAGATAACAGAATTAGACTCTCAAAGACTTCATTTGAAGAAACAAAAGTTGAAAACATGATGAAAGAGTAATATAGTAAAAAAAAAAAAACAGGAAAATTTGAGAAATCAGGAGAGAAGAAACTGAGGCAGAGGCAAACAGATTTCAAAAGCAGACGACAGTCAAATAACCACTGACACAACAATGTAAGCCAAATCCAAGGAAATGGTATCTTCAATTACTAAGAAAAAATAGCTGACAATATAAAATATGATACTCAGAATAAATATCAATTCAGAATCAGGGCAGTCCTGGCCAGTATGGCTTAGTTAGTTGAACAAACTGTCCTATACACTGAGAGGTTGCCAGTTTCATCTCCTGCTGGGTGCATATGGGAAGGCAACCTAATGAATGTTGATCTCTCACATCAATGTTTCTCTCTCTCTCTAAAATAATCAATAAACATGTCCATGATTTTTAAAAAACTCATAGCAAGAAAAAATAACTTCTAGTGGGGTGGGGAAGGACAAAGTTTGTCATCAGTAGATCTTCATTAAGAAAATTCTACATGATACACCTCAGGCTAAACTAAACTTATTCCAGATGGTCAATTTGAGATATAAAGAGTTGGGAAGGGGAAGAAATACAAACATATTAATGGAAATAAATTCAAAATATTAGTCATTATAATAAATGTAAATGAACCAAATGTTCTAGTTAAAAGAAAAAGAATATAAGACTGAATTGTTTAAAATCCAATTATTGGTATTTATAAGATTTATCTAAAACATGGATTAGGAAAGACTGAAAAGTAAAATAGAAAGCAATTACTCACAAAAAGAAAGCACGTGTATAATTAATACCAAAGAAATTAAATTTTTAAAGCAAAATGCATTATTAAAGATTAGTAAGGTTACTGCATCATACAAAAAGAAACAGATAACTCCACAAACACAATAGGTGATTTTAACACAAAAATCTCAGTTACTGATAGAGCAAGTCAAAAAAATAAATAAAAGGAAGACTAGAAAGTTTGAATAACAGAGTTTTAATAAGCTTGTTGAAACAGCACATACAGAAATCTATCACAACTGCAGAAACACATAAAAAACACTCACTACATACTGGGCCATAATTAAAATCTCACCATATTTTAAAGGGTTGGCAGCACACAAACCATGTTCTCTGACTAAAATGTAATTCAGTTAGAGATCATTACGAAAAATAATTAAGAAAATAACCCTCATATTTGAAAATTAAAAAAACACTTCTAAATAATTCATGGGTCAGAAAATAATTTATAAATAAAAAGAGAAATAATCAGAATTGAAAAATAAGATAACCTCCTATCAAAACTTTGAATAATGCTAATACAATACATAGTGAGAATTTATAGCCTTACTTGCTTACATTAGAAAAGAAGAAGAGCTGGACATTAATGAACTAAGCACCCAACTTAAATTAGAAAAGAAAGGTAAAATAGCCCTGGCCAGTTTGGCTCAGCAGTTAGAGCATCGGCCCGTGACTTGACAGTCCCAGGTTCAGTTCCCACTAAGGGCAGCACGTACCTCCCTCCCTTGCAGTTTGTCCCAGCCCCAGGTTGTGCAGGTGGCAACCAGTCGATGTGTCTGTGTCTCTCTCACACTGATGTTTCTCTCTCTTCCTTCCTCTCTCTCTCTCGCTCTACCTGAAAATAAATGCAAAAATGTCCTCAGGTGAGAATAAAAAAAAGAACAAAATAAATTGTAAGAAAATAGAACTAAACTTACACACACACACACACACACACACACACACACACACGGCATATGTACAAATATCAACTAAGCCAAAAGTTGCTGTGTTGGAAAGCTTTTAAAATTTTTTATTAATAAAATGTCAGATAGAAAATATTTTGGCTTTACAGACCAAATAGTCTATATTACAACTATTGAACTCTGACATCATAGCTCAAAAGCAGCCACAGACATAAACAAATAGGTATGGCTGTGTTCCAATAAAACTTCACATCCAAATTCAGGAGTGGGGACAGATTTGGCCCATAGGCTCTAGTTTGCAGCTCTCTAAAAAGATTAAGAAAATTGACAAACCTCTAGTAAGATTGATCGGGGGGAAATATTTAAATGTACAAATAATATTAGGTCTTAAAAACTATAAACAACTTTA